ATATATATATATATATATATATATATATATATATATATATATATATATATCTTAACAAAATATATAGCCCATCAACCGTTAGTAACTTTTATCCGTCCTCCTCTCTTCATCTTTAAATTAACTAGAGTAGTACGTTATACAAACCACAATTAACAAGAATGATGTGGCACATCTCTTAAGCCAAGAAACATATTTATCTTTTTTCTCCTTTTTTTGAGTTTTTATCATTATTCTATCTTCATAACTCTCACCTCATTATCTTCCTAACCAATATTCTTAATAATCTCAATAACACTTTTGCCTTTTCATATTCATAACCCCCAAATATTTAATATGTAAATTTATGACAATTTATCTTAATATTTTACATTTTTCCTTCAACTATCTTATTTAATCAATCTATTTAGCATAATGGAATAAAAAAATAAAAAAAAGCCTGATGCATTTGCGTAATAAAGCCCAAATGACCAGTAAAATTAGTAGTTTTCTAAAACAGAGCCACATTGCACTTAAATATCGTTTGCATTTATCTTTATTCTTTATTTGTTTTAAAATTTTCATTTTCTGAACTTACACCTCTTTAACTTCTACTCTTAATAGTATCCATAATTCCTATGCTTTTCATAACCCCCAAATATTTAATTAAAAAATTTAAGATACTTTATGGTATTCCTCTATTTTTCCCTATATAAATTCATATTGTTTCATGAGACCCCTACCCAAGGTTACCCTTTTCATTTCGTATTTGAAATTGTAATGGTGTCTTATATATCGCAGTATTAGATTCATGTTTTAGTTTTGCTCGAGGAAGAAGGCTCTTGAATGGTGATGGATTTGCGAGAGACAGTATCAACAACAGCTCGAAAAACTATGCATCGATTTTATATTTCTTTTTCCTTTTATTTTCTTATGATTAAGATTCCAAATAGAATGTGTGTTGTAATTTTTTTTCTTGTACTTTCCCTATGACCTTGAGAAATAGTATACTTATGTAATTTGCTTTAAGATCGGTGTAATTTCTGTGAATAACTAGCATGTTCTTTCTGATATTGATGTATTTTAGATATATACTAAAGGTCAAAACACATATAAATACATATCTATAGTTCAAGAAGAATATTAAGGAATAACAACTTGGAACACTCAACAAATAACATTGCTAAAAATAATTTGGTAGTTGATTTCCACTAAAGGAAGTGATAAAAGCAAGAACCGTCAAAAATGAGTTATGCAAGAATTCAAGGCAATACGTAAGATCGAATCTGTTATTTTTCTAATATTTTTTTTAAAATATTAAGCAAAACCATCTTCAAGTGACTATAATGGACAAGAACTGAGTTTACAAATCTCATTCTTAAAAGAGATGATCTAAAAAATTATCTTTTCCTCTATGAAATCGTTGTGTTTTTCAAGATAGAAACAACCAACGGCCTAGTGGGTGTGCAACTTCCTTTTTTTTTTTTTAAATTATTGTTTCATCATGATCAAATTTCTTTATTTGTATTTTAATTTTACTTTTAAAATCTGTATTATAATTTTACATCTTTTTATATGTAAGGAGAAACATCGAAACTAAAAATTTAAAAAAAAAAACTTAGATATGCATAAATTAAATAAAGATATTTATAAATTATGTTAAAAAGAACACAATATTTTTAAACTTCTTCAACTTTTCAGAAATCAAAGAGATAATTGATTAAGAAATACATATCAATTTTACATATATAGATTAATTCCCTTATAGATATGGGGACAATTGTATCCATTCATGAAAAACTTGTAACATGTATAGTGTTGAAGGTAAAAGAATCGCAACCATAAGTCATTGAAAATGCTTAATATTCTGATTTTATTTAATTTTTACAAATTATATATATACATACAAGGATTTATTTAATATTCTGATTTTTTATAATGCTCGCGCGAAGCGCGGACGAATACACTAGTGACAAATAATTTGAGACAACTATTTTTACTGATTTCTCTTAAGCAGGAAGCTGATAATTGGTCATTTATTATTACATAATTTTGTGAATTATCCAATAACATAAAGCATAAAAGAATTTGTGCATTTCGGACATGATAATTAACAATTTATTACACTATTTACGAATAGTTATTTTGCAAATAGCATAAAACATTGGGTAATTTAAATTGCAATTTCTTAGTTGTATTTCAGAATTATAGACCATTTCTGTATTTTGTCATCTTTTTGGCTGCTGAGTATCTCTCAGCTTCAGTGACTGTAAGTTCTTACCACCTATAAACGTTATTTCTTTCCCTGTTATTATTCTTTCTATTTTCATCATCTTTTATCTACTAATAGTGGTACTTTATTGCAATTAATTTTGTTAAATTTACTGTATTGGGTGTAATAGTTATCTGAAATAAAGTCTGTTTTTCATGGACCCAAGTGGTTTCTTGAATTTTTTCAGCTAACTTTAAAGGGAAACTCATCTTAATTATGGCTTGCCTGATAATTGGTGATATTTTACTGTTTCAGTTTAGTTCCTGGTTTTGTTGTTTATATCTGTAAAGTTATCCTTTTTATTGTTATTTGTTTGATAAAGAAGACAATAGCTTATTTAAATAAGCTTGTTTGGCTTAGTGGGTTAGTTGTATTTGTATCTTGTTTGTTGGTGCTGGAAAAATTGGTAATTTCATAGGTAGGTTTGGAATTTTGAGTGAGTCGGGGTGAAGCCACAAGTCATGTTCAAGATTTAATATATATATGTGTGAAAAGTAAATTTTGACCTTTAGCATTGCTATGTAACAAACATCCACTATAAAAGCCACGTTTTTATGGAATCAATTTTCATGCTATGTTATAATATATGTTCTCTATAACAGCACTTCGCTATAATAGCCGAAAAAGTCCGGAACAAATGTGGCTGTTATAGAGAGGTTTGACTGTATAATTTTTCGACGAATGTTGTTAAACTGACCACCCTCGGGATAGGTAGCTACGCCCTTGGGTTTAGAGTGGTCTTGTGCCTACTGCCTTAAAAGAGAAAGGACAGTATTAGGATGAAATGGGTCCTAATAGAGCGGAATGGATAAATATGAGAGTGATGCCAACTAGTTGGGAATTGAGGCCTAGTTGGTTGATTGATTAATATATATATATAGTCTGAGCTGAAGATCATTCATCTCCATTGACCGTAACGCAGGTCTGCCATGGGATGATCTGCATTGAAGAACTTGTTTTAAAAGACTGATAGATCTGAATGATGTTCATTGAAATCTTGAAATCCTTTGTGATACTGAGTATCCTGTGTTTCACAGGAAAATAAGGTAGCCGAGTTCACGAAACTTGTTATGTGACAAGATACAGTTTTTTATATTGGAAGCATAATGGATGGAAGTCCTTCAGGGTATTCGACCGGAGGCGCACCTATGTGTTAAAGTGAGCGGCACTGGACCCCGTAAGCTTCGGCAGAAATCTTGTATTACGTATATGCATATACCTTGAAAAAGGTTAATTTAAAGCACTTGGCACCCTGAACACTAAAAGCCTTTAGGGGACACTTTAGGGGACACTGGTTGAGCAAAATTTGTGCCTCCGTCGCGTAAAAATCCTGGGTCTGCCTCTATACTCGACACACTTTATTCACTATATACTTTGACTGTAACAACCCCTTGTGTGCATCATTGTATTTTGGGTCAAAACTAACTTTGAGATCCTTGATTAAAAAGAATATGTATTTATGCGATACCTTTGGATTTTATTGTTGTTTAACTCCTTTAGGAAAACATAAAAAACCATGCAAATATGGCTTTCAAGAGAAAATACACACATTATGATACCATGTATCTACGCCATCTTCTAAGGAGGCTATGCATGATACTATTCTTATGTTATCTTCTCGTGGTCAACTGATTATATATTTCTGGTCTCAGATCTTCAGGATAGACTTGAGGCTTGAGAGATTCCCACCTCGTTAGTCATTTCTTTTCTTTTATCTTCCCTGGATTGACTTGAGAAATTCCACATGTTTTCAGCTTCGTGAGTGTTGGTCGTCCATAGAACTTGTCGATGGAATCAAATAGCCCAACATCTAGTGATGATTATGCGGCTGATATCTCGTCCATCAGGCAAGCTCAAGAACGCATCGAGCCCTTTGTGCACAAAACTCCAGTCCTCACCTCAGAAACTTTAAATTCTATTGCTGGAAGAAAGCTCTACTTTAAATGTGAATGCTTTCAGAAGGGGTGAGAAGCTCTTTAACGATGTAGAATTAAAGGATTTGTCTTCAAGTAGTTTTTCTGCGATGTGTGTTATTAGTGAACTGAAATTTCTTCTATTTTGACTTCTAAAAGTTCTAATTAAGGGTTATTGGTTTGTGCAATTTTGTCAGTGGTGCTTTTAAATTCCGAGGGGCGTGCAATGCTATTTATTCACTTGATGATAATCAGGCCGAAAAAGGAGTTGTAACTGATAGCAGGTTTGCTTAAAGCTTTCTGGTTTCTGTGGTTTACTATCGTTGTCTATTTTTCTGGATAGAAAGTGATTTGCTTCCTGTCGAATTTAGTGGAAATCATGCTGCAGCTCTTGCTTTGGCTGCAAAACTACGTGGTATCCCTGCATATATAGTTATACCAAAAAATGCTCCGAAATGCAAAGTTGAGAATGTCAAACGTTACGGTGGTCAGGTTATCTGGAGTGAGCCGTCAATGCAGTCCCGAGAGGATACTGCAAACAAGGTGTTGCAAGATACTGGTGCTGTTCTTATTCATCCCTATAATGATGGGCGCATCATAAGGTAACATTGTTTTTCTTTATCATTTACTAATAGATGATATTTTGTTCCAGTCTGCCGTCTTGTTTAAAATCCCAGCAGCGACAAAAAGATAGTAGGTGATTATAGTTTCTTCCTCCAAAATATGGGGATATGGTTGGTTTATATTTGAGTATAGTCTCAAAATACTTTAGTAGTCGAAGAAGATTGCTCTAGTAGTTGAGGAAGATTACTCTAGTAGTTGAGAAAGGTTGATTTAGTAGTTGTTGCATTAGGAGTGCAAAACTTTTCCGAGTTCGATGTTGACGGCCTAGTTGTGGTGAGGGACGCCCTTTGTGGGAAGACTTTTGTGCAAATAATTCAACCGCTGCTAATGTGATTCAATCTCTACTGAGGTAATCCAATCTCTACGAAGGTAATCCAATCTCTATTCTAGTAATTCAATATCTACTCTAGTAGTTTACTGATAAACCTTGGCGGGTAGAGTTCTCCGATACTTGTGATGGCAGGAGGTAGTAGGTACCTGGTGCAATATTCGAGATATGCGCAAGCTAGCCCAAACACCACCATTTTCATTAAAAGAAAGTTGCCATTATTTGTTTCCGAACTCTGGAACTAATATCCAAACTGAAGCAACATGAACCTGGTCAGCTATCTTGACTTGTTAGTCTTCTAGTTAACCTTCAACAAAAGATTGTAAGATTCTTAGATCATTAATTTCAGTTTTAGGCGGGAAAACTGAAGAGTATAAAAAAACATTTTCTGCGAAGGACATCTAAAAGTAAGAGGATTAGAGATTTCACGAATCAGTTTGAGAAGAAAAATTGCTCAGCCAGTTGCTACAGGAAATGGTGTTAATTCTAACCTCTCAAACTCATATCAAAAGAATTTCCATTTTGCTGAAATGTTTTTTCTGGTCTTTACAGTGGGCAGGGTACAATATCACTGGAATTTCTGGAACAGGCTCAAGATATTGACACTTTAATAGTCCCAATTAGTGGTAAATCAACCTTTTTTTTTCATGAGTAAATCAACCCTTTTAAGACATCATAAGTCGTTTGCTTGAGATTTTAATTTGTATCAACCTTATTTTCTGGTTTGGAATGAAGGAGGTGGTCTAATATCAGGAGTCGCGTTGGCCGCGAAGGCCATTAATCCTGCCATTCGCATTTTGGCTGCTGAACCAATGGGAGCTGATGATGCTTTCCAGTCGAAGATCAATGGTAGGATCACTAAGTTATCTGAAGTCAACACTATTGCTGATGGGCTTCGAGCTTTTCTCGGAGATCTCACATGGTAAATTCTTAGAGCTCCTTCTACTCTAAACTACTGTGTGCCAATTGGCATTTTTCGTGGTCAAAGTCACAAGGTTTGTTGGTGGAAAGATCGGCATAAATCAATATTTAGAGGTCATGCTATATTTTTGGTTCACGTTTGGTGTATCTAGCTGTGATTTTGCTCTATTGAGCCGAGGGTCTTTCAGAAACAGCATCTCTATCTTCACAAGGTAGGGGTAAGGAGTGCGTACCTATTACCCTCCCAGGACCCCACTTGTGGGAATATACTGAGTATGTTGTTGTTGTTGTTGTTTGGTGTATCTACGGTAGACAACAACAAGCGCCATAAGTGGTAGATTGCACTTATTTCAACAAGCGCCATAACTGCATACCTATTACACTATAGTAGGTGTAATCTATTCTTTCATTAAAGAAGCCTATTTCTCCCTTTGCCCCTTTTAGTGTCGGCCAAGCGCCATAAGGCTTTATTCATTTAATAATTTTGTTTATCAAGCTCCATAAGGCTGCCTACAATAGACCCTTTGTGGTCTAGCCCTTCCTCGGACCCACCGCATAGCGAGAGCTTAGTGTACTGGGCTGCCCTTTGTTTATCAAATGATCTCTGGCATTTACCTTTAACATCAAATTACAGGCCTATTGTCCGCGATCTCGTGGATGATGTCATAGTTGTTGATGATAAAGAGATAATACAAGCTATGAAACTTTGTTATGAGATTCTAAAGGTTGCGGTAGAGCCAAGTGGAGCTATTGGCCTTGCAGCTGTTCTTTCTGATGGTTTCCAAAAAAATCCAGCCTATAGTGAATGCAGTCATATTGGCATTGTAATTTCTGGAGGCAATGTTGATCTTGGTGTTCTTTGGAATTCGCTCGAGAAATAAGAAACTCCATATTCAAAGTATTCATGTATTGTGCGGATTCATCGTAAATTGATTAGTTTTATGCTGTCAGCCTACTGCAACTATGTTTTTTATCCGGACTTATGACTGATAATGTGAGCAAGCTCCATACATGTGCAGTAATAGCAATAGTTGTGAGTTGGAAATTACTGAAAATGAGCTATCTAACATGCAGCGATGGAAGAAGCCGAAGTGAATTCATAATTTAAATTTGGTAGTTCGGCTTTTAAAGTTTTTAGTACGAAAATCATTGTACTTTTAAAATTATGGTTCCAGATAGGGGTGTACATGGACCGGGTTGGTTCGGTTTTTATCAAAATCAAACCAAACCAACTATATCGGTTTGGATTGGTTCGGTTTTGTCGGGTTTTTCGAGTTTTCGGGTTTTTTTTTACTTACATAATATTTCAATCTTACTTTGTTAAATATTTGATAAGTAAATATCTACTTAGTAAAAATATAAAAAATTGACAAACATATTACCGATTAAAATATTCTTATGGGAGAATTCTATTAGTAACACATAAAATAGTTATTTTTTTAGTCGTCTGACAATAATTTTTCGTTGATATACACTTTCAGGTTAACCGAATTTAGTAATTAAATATAAAATCAATATGATACCTAAATATTAATAACCACTTCACATTCGAAAAAGATATAAGAATTTAATGGATCTTAACGTATGATATGAATATGGAAGAACAAAGAGATAGACGCATTTCAGTAACATTTGATAAGAAAGTGATCATACAACCCATTATTTAAGGGCAATAAATATGGAGCACTTCATATTTTATTAAAATTTATATCCTGCAGGAGAATCCCAAATATTTTTAGGCATTTTTTAAAGAAAATTCTATATAAAATCTTAAAAGTATATATAAAAATTATATATTTATATGTCGGGTTGGTTCAGGTTTTTTTACTCAATACCAAACCAAATCAAACCAAACCAAGTCGGGTTTTTTAATCGTGACTTTTCAATTTGGTGCGGTTTTTCGGTTCGGTTTGTACACCCCTAATTCCAGATCTAATTTTTGTTAAAATTTTAATGAGTTATCACATATACATCAACTTTTTTGCGTCGAAAATATTGGATTTAGATAGGCCCATTTTCTAAGAGCTATATCGGCCATCGGAAGAGAACTTAGCATAAGGTTTCTTTTGTTTTTAATCCCCTTTGTTGGATTTGGTGACACGAAACCACGATCCTTGGGTTGTAGGTGGGAGGTGCTAACCAGCTGAGCGGCCCCTCTTGTCACTTAGCATAAAGTGTGTATTTGAGTCATCTATGAATTCATAATTGAGCGAAGTATTAACGGTATATAATAGTTTATTATATTCCGTTTATAAAGTCATGAATATATTGATCCTTTAGTAAAAATAGCACGGTCTAGCCAGTTTTCGGACTGGTCATTCAAAAATAGCCAGCGTTTACCAAGTCAATAAAAAATAGCCACTATTTTGCTGCAACAGAGACCGGTCCAGCATAATATACTGGAGTTCGGTGCACCTGCTCCAACACACAAAAAGTTCCAGCATAATATACTGGAGAATCGAGCACTTGTGTATGAACTTCCAGCATATTATACTGGACCGATATACTTTGCTAGAACTCCAGTATATTATGCTGGAGTTCTAGTGTACTTATGCTGGAACTCCAGCATACTTATCCTGGAACTCCAGTATAATGTGCTGGAGTTCAAGTATACTTATGCTGGAACTCCAGCATAATATACTGGCATATTTTTTCGGGTTTTGAATAGTGTTTTTGTTCAGATTTATCTTTACATGAAAAGTGGCTAGATTTCGATTACTTTTGAAACTTGCTATTTTTGAACGACCACTTATAAATTTGGCTATTTTTGAATTTCTCCCGATCCTTTAAGTTTGCTAAAAGTGAATAATTTTAGACTCTATCAATATTTAACAAACCATGTCGTAGATTTAACTGAAACTGTAACTGTAACAAACGATTTATTAATCAAAAAACATAGAAAAGTCTCGTCAAATATCAGAAACACCACCTCAAAAATATAACACACACTATGAACAAATTAATAACAGCAGAAAATGCAAAAGCTACATCTTCAAATGTGAGTTTCACCAAAATTCGCTAAATATTTTGATTGAGACTAAAAACCTCACTTTTGACAAATTTAAAGGACCAAAACTTCTTATGAATACATTTAAGAGACTGTTTTAGATTTACCCAAAACATATGGAACCGTTTTCGTCATTTTCTATTCCTGCTGTATGCTTCTCTCATAACAACCTTTTTTAGGGTTTTAGATTCCGTTCCCTTATTCTGAAGCATGAGCTCCACAACAATGGATACCCAGTCCCCTCCTCCTCCACCATGTTGGAGCAACATCCTAAAACAACCACCACCACCCCCGCAACCAAAAACTCCGTCCACCTTCACCGCCGCCGTACCTACGGCGGCAGCGGCAGCAGGTACTGGAGTTCTAGTCGGGAGCTGCAAGTCGACGAAGGGGATAGCGGTAGCAATAGTAGACGCAAACACAATAATTCAAGGCGGAGATAAGCTGAATCATTCAGCTGACCGGTTCGTATCGGTGCCTGAAGTGTTGAGCGAGATTCGTGATCCTAATTCACGTCACTCGCTTAATTTCCTTCCGTTCACTGTTGATACTATGGAACCTTCTCCTGATTCTCTTAAGAAAGGTTTAAAAGTTTGATTTTTTTAAATTTTTGTACGTATTTGTATATTTATGCGCTATGTTAAATGTGTAGTTTTGTTGATTTTATTAACCTTTTATTTATATTGCTTCGGTTTAGTTATATGAAATTAATCAGTTAGCATAATATCCATTTTTCCTCAATCCGAAGTTAGTTGAGGTCGGCATCGCAATGCTTGCTAACCATTTTGATATTGTGAAGATTCATCATTAATTTCTAGTTTTATTCTTGCTGTCAATTTATCTCAAAAATCTGCTCTTTTATTTGGGCCTGGGACTGGCAATATGAACAAGCTCACACTTAAAGTGAATTTTTGCAGGTGGGGGAGGGGGGTATAAGTAGAAGATACTATGTTTTGCTGATAGCTGAACAAACTTGATAGACAGTTGTGGATTGCTCGATTAAGTCATACACAGCTCTCGTGTGTGTGTGTGATTCTATTGATAAGTAAGGTCACTTTGTATTATTTTTAAACACCGACTTGTTGAAAGAAAAACTATGGTGAAAATATTTGAAGTATTTCTGGTTTTTATATATCTTTGTTGTTTCTTGTCAGTTTGTTTGCTTAATGGCCACTGGGTAAGTCTGATTCCAATTGCAGAGGTTAGATTCTAACTTTATCAGAAAAGTTGTTAAGGTAGCGTTTGATGGTAGCTGAGGCCCAAGAATGTTTATAGTCTAGTTAGAGATTGGTATATCAATATAGATAAGTGTGGGATTTATAGAATCTCTAGTTTTAGAGAAACCCAGAAGCGTATGTCAGTTTAGGGACATGTGTGAGTTTTAGAGAATGTCTAATTTTAGAGAACTATGCTCAGAGTGTTATTTTTAATCTTGGATATCTTATTGAATATGTTATGTTACCTGTCTTTCCAGTTATCAGCTTTGCAAGAGCTACTGGTGATTTGCAAACACTTTCCGATGTGGATCTCAAGCTCATTGCTTTAACTTACACTTTGGAGGCTCAATTTCATGGAACTCATCATCTCCGGGATTGCCCTCCTCCTATTCACATGGTTAATGTGAAAAGGTTGCCAGAGAAGGAGTTGCCTGGATGGGGCTCTAATGTCCCTAATCAAGAAGAGTGGGACGCAATAGAACATGCAATGGATGCTGGAGCAAACACCAACTCTAGAATTCTTCCCTTGAAAGATTTGAGCTTGAATGTTATTCCTCTTGATCAACAAAGTAGAGATGGTTCAACCTTGAATGGCGGTGATTCTCATTCTGAGGATCAGATGGATGCCGAAGGTGGCTTTGGGAAACCTAGAAAGTACCCGCCGCAGAAAAAAGAGGTAAAAATTGAAGGTAAGAAGATGGTTGCTGATGGAATTGATGCATCACAGGGACAATATGATGAGGATGGTGATGATTGGCGACCTGCTGTCAGCCGAAGTACTCATAGGAGATTTCTCAGACGAAAAGCTAGACGTGAAATGTCTGAGACATCATCTAAAATGGATGATATACAAGATTCAGCTGAAAATGCAGTAAATGAAAACCTTGACAACTGTCAATACGATGATATGGCTATGTCCCATATACCAGAAGAAAATCATGAGGCAAATGGAGAGGGCAATGCGATTACTGAAGTTAGAGACGGTGAAGAAAATCTGTCTACGATTTTGAGTCAAATGCGGCTTGAAGAAGATTCTGCAAAAGATCTTCAAGATGATGCAGATGTAAACATTCCTCTTGAGGGGTCTGAATCCAATGATGCTAAGCAAGACAGTAAAGAATCTGAAGAAGATGAAGGGGAGAATTTTGACTCTGCTGATGGAGGAGCGGAAGATGCAGAGATGGCCAGCCAGATGGATGAGAGCATTGAAACATCATTTGTAGATGATGACAGCAGTGAACAGAGTTGGATGTTAAAATCCTTGTCCGAGTCAAGCGTGGCTTGTGTGACAGGTGATTTTGCAATGCAAAATGTTATTCTTCAAATGGGCTTACGCCTTGTGGCACCTGGAGGAATGCAGATTCGTGAGCTGCACAGGTATGTACAAGCTGCTGTGATCCCCACCCCCCATCCCTCATCCCCCAAATAAGATAAAAGAAAAAAAAATGTATTTCAGCTTTGTACTACTCTGTAATATCCGTTGTCTATTCTTCATGTTGACGAGTTATCATGAACGCTGCAAGAGGACTATTGAAACGGTCCTTCTATTGAGCCAGTCAATACACTTCTCCTTTATGCTTGGAGTCCTCTAATATTTGGTTGTATAGGAATGTGATTTGCTTATAGTAGCATTTTCTATTTTCAGGTGGGTGCTGAAATGCCATGCCTGCTATAAAGTGACAACAGATGTTGGTAGGATTTTCTGTCCCAATTGTGGAAATGGGGGCACTTTACGCAAGGTAGCAGTGACTGTTGGCGAAAATGGTATCGTTCTTGCAGCGCGCCGACCACGTATATCCTTGCGAGGGACGAAGGTGGGAAATG